AAAACTGTTTACAGCCTGTAAATTAGATCACATGCCAAAAAAAACAAGAAAAATGATAAAAAAATGACAAATTTCAAAGAATCCCGTGAAGAACACTGTGCAACCCGTGTTCTTCACGGACTCGCCGATTCCGCACAGTGACTCGGCGAGTCACTGTGCAGAATCGTCTGGTTCTCTTTAGAACCGGACGATTTCCGATTTTTTAGCCGATACGATCCACTTTTTGCGATTTTCGAGTCAAACCGGGCGAGTCCGGTTCGACTCGACGTTTTTTAAAACACTGGTTTAAAATATTAGGTGGTTTGCCTATGACATTTCAACCTATCCATAACTTTTCCAGTCGAGATTGTGGTGTCTATATCATGGTCTCCATGTTAGAGGTTACATGTACTTAAAAATTAAGTCCTAAAATTCATCTCAAAAATAGATTTATTAAGAGGCCCACATTTCCACATATGCGGACTTGGTGGCATAGAAACTGGGTCCTTTTTTAAAAGATAGACAAATAAGGGATGAAATTCTCCTTGCCTAAGAATGTATTCATTCTAGACTAAGGGAGAAGAGACTAGGGATTATCTGCAAGATAGACTTTGAGAACGCTTATGATAAGGTTGATTGGCAAGTTCTTCATGAAATTATGGGCAAAATGGGTTTTCAGTCCAAATGGAGGTTATGGATTCATGGTTATCTCTCATCTACTCACTTTTCCATTCTTTTCAATGGGAAAGCTTGTAGGTATTTTAAGGCCTTTAGGGGAATAAGACAAGGGGATCCACTCTCACCATATCTTTATATACTAATGACGGAAAGTTTTAGTGTTATGTTGAAATCAGTGGTGGAGAAGGGATTAATTCATGGCATCAAAATTAGTAATAATGGTTTGGAGATTTCACATCTACAATATGCTGATGATACCATTGTGTTTTGCAACCCGGAGTAGAGAGAAGTTAGGTGCCTTTGGATATTTCTAAAATCCATGGAACTAGCTACAGGTTTGAAGGTTAACTTGGAAAAAACCTACTTTGATTGGTATCGATTGTGAAGAAAGAAGACTGAAACAGTTGGCAAATATTATTGGTTGTAGTATGAGTACGTTGCCTTGCAAATATCTCGAGATTCCCTTTATCTCAGGAAATTCTCCTAGATCGATCTAAGATCTTAAAGGATCTTATTGTGGAAAGATTTGAAAAAAAAATTGAAGTTGGTAAGATGAGATACGACATGTGTGTCCATTAAAGAGGGAGACTTGGGTATCAAAAGGCTAAAGTTGATGAATACAAGCCTTTTACAAAGTGGTGGTGGTGATTTCATTTATAACAGAATTCTTTGTGGGGTAATGTGCTTCAAGAAAAATATGGAATACATGCAAAATATGGAATGATTAAAAGCCCAATATCAAAAGTAGCTATGTCCAGTGTTTGGAAAGTAATTGATTACTTTAAACTTTTATATCTTCAGCATTGTAGAAAGTTGGTGGGAAAGGGAGATAAAACTGTCTTTTGGTTTGATAAGTGGATGAAAGACTACCCCCTTCGTTACTTGTTTCCTGAGGTTTTTTCTAAAGTGCTAAATCCATTAGCCTTAGTAAAGGAGTTGAGACGGGACGATGCTTCTAACCTTTCGTAGTCTATTGTGTGCAGGTAGAGAAGCATGTCTAATGCATTCATTGATGAGTTCCACTGTCTAATGATTTCTTGCTGCATTTTTTATATGTTCCAAATAGAGAAGGCTCTATTATTTGGGATTGAAGTCCTCATGGTGATTTCTTGGTGAAGTCTGTCTATCATTTGCTTTATGATGATAGGTATCAAGATATAGACCAAAATATGAAAAATATTTAGACTCTCCAAATTCCACTGAAAGTAATTATTGTGGATTGCATGTCAAAAGAAGATTCCCACAATAGATAATCTTTAGTGGAGGGGATTCATTTTGACAAATGACTGCTTATTGTGTTTGCAAGATGATGAAATGGTAGACCACCTTTTGCTGCATTGCCCGTTCTTGTAGAACCTATGGAATTAGTGCCGACAGGTGATTCAATTTCAGGCATAAATCCCTCAATCAATGAATGTTAGTATTCAACAATGGATGCACTCAAGTCTTCCAAAGATTGGCACCATTCTATGACGATTTTTATGGACGAATATAATATGGAATATATGAAGAGAGTGCAATAGAAGAATATTTGAAGGTGTGTGCTTAGATTTGGACGTTTTGAAATCAAATATATTAGCAATGGCAGTAGATTAATTCTTGATGCATAAGGAGTGCAGTGGTATACCGAAAAGCCAATTCTATCCATACTCCAATAGGATTGGAATTACTTAGAAACCACCACTTTTGAATGGTACGAAGCTTAATTTTGATGGTAGTTCTCTGAGCAACCCAGGTCCAGCTGGTTTGGAGGACTCATTAGAGAGCACAATAGTTGTATTTTAAAGACATTCTTAGATCTATAGGGGAATACAATAGTTAATGCCTAAAAATTCTTATAAAGTTGGATTGTCGACGATTGAAGGGGACTCCTCTTATGTTATTGTGTGGGCAAAACGAGAGATGAAGCCTCTCTAGCGCCTTTGGTGCTTGTCTGATGAAATTCATCTCATTTTGCTTTTTTTCTTCCTTTGACCTTGTGCGTTGCTATAGTGAGTGTAATGCTGAGGTTGATATTCTTGCTAAAGGGGGAGTGCACCAATCTTTGTTGGTAATTTCATTCTTCCTGTAATTTTTCTTGTATTTTCTTTTGGGCCAATGAAAATTGTGATGAACTTTCAAAAAAGAGTAAAAAACATAGGTGGAGCCGTTGATACTCCCACCTATGTTTAAAGCAGGAATACGCCATGAAAGCAAAGAATACTATATGTTAATTGGAGCCTCTTATAAATGTTAATTAGAGCCTCACAAAGAAGCTTTTTTTATTTTGAATTTAAATTCTAATTGTAAACAATCAATTATTTACTTAAAAAAAAGGAGTTTGGATTTTGAGCTTTTAAATACTTAGTAATATTTGTTAAAAAATTAGACGGTCAGTGTTAAATTCTAAGACTTTCTTTTTGGAGACATATCCATGCATATACAAGAGCTACATGTGTTGGTCCGGTGCAAAAATATGTGGGACACAAAATGTGTTGTACCAGCTTCTGACAAAAAATGTCAGTTTGACACAATATGCCCTGGACAAGCTTTTGATATTGAAATTGTGCAACTTTAGCATAAATTGTGTCAGACCGGTTTATATCAAAATTGTGTTGGTTTGGCATATAGGTTTCTACATTCAAGTTGTGTAGGTCTGCAAATTTTATGTGGGACCGGCTTATAGAGAGAGCGGGAAAAGTGGGTTAAAATGAGGGTATTCTGGTTAAAAAATGAACTTGTGGTTGCAAAGAAAAATAGCGTTGAGGTTAATCGTGTGATGTCAAATGTGTTGGATGGTAGCATGCCTAGAAAGTATAATTCTAGACCAAAATACCCCCTATTTTAACCCATATTTCCTACATATGACACCCAATTTGTGTCAATCTAGCACAAAAATATGTTTGGCTTATACCAGTCCAGCACAAAATGTGACGGACTAGTTTTTGACAATATGTGCAGGACCGGCTTTTGATATTAAAATTGTGTCTCTGTCACAAAACGTGTCATAACTACTTATATCGAAATTGTGTCGGTTCAGCATATTGGATTCTACATTGAAGTTGTGCAAGTCTGCAATTTTATGCTGGACCGGCTTAGAGAGAGTACGAAAAGTAGCTAAAATGAAGGTATTTTAGTCAAAAATGAATTTGTTTACTCCGGGAGTGGTTGAAAAGAAAATAGTGTTCGGGTTAATAGTGTGATTTTAAAAGTGTTACAAAGTGGCATGCTTAGAAAGTATACATTGGGAGTGTTTTATAATTTTTTTTTTTTCTAAAATTGCCATTATAGTGAAGACATTAAATCCCAAAAATTTATTGAGACCTTAAAAAAACAGTTAAAAAAAAAACAAAAAATTCTCAAAAATTTATTGAGGCCTAAAAAAAAAAAACAGTTCAAAAAAAAAAAATCCCAAAATTTATCGAGACCTAAAATACAGGTACGTGAGGTTTTATTTAGCCAAGGGAGCAAAAGAAATGCTCTGACGTGAGCACAGAATCATCTTGGTAGTAATTCCGAAAGCCCGTGGGCTCCTCAAAATCAAACAGATGGAGGATATTCCTGTGCTCCAGTTTATTCTCGAGTCAAAAGCGCAAGGAAACAAAGCGTTTTCATCGGTAACATGCTGTCTGCTACAGTGGAACCTCATCCAACTTCCAACCAAACCCAACTTCTTTGAACCTGTGATCGCAATGAAAATGAAACCCAAATAAAAAGAGGAAAGGACTGGACCAAGAAAGAATAAGAACTGAAAATCGTGGCAAGCTTCTGAGATCGTAATGGTTCAAAAGTGAGAAGCCATGGCCAGAGCTCTCGAAAGCATAGGCTGTAACAGAGCTCCAAAGCCCTTCCTTAAAAAATGCCGTAGAAAATGTTCTAAGCCGGCAGAAGACGGCAGCTTGGCCTCTTCTGCCGCCGCATCAACAAATGGACCAACCACCACCCCTTCATCTACTATGCCTAAAAAACTCAGCCATGTCTTCATCTATCTCTCTCTCTCCCTCTCTCTCTCTCTCTCTCACGTTCTGAAATCCAAGAATAATCCATGAAGCTCCTACTCCTTGGCAATGGGTTGTGTTCAAGGCAAGCCCTTGTCTCCTAAAGATGGTGAACGAGCAGGAGGAGGAGGAGGAGGAGGAGGAGGAGGCGGCTTGGGAAAACTAAAATTGCAGAATGGGTATATAGGTGCAGGCTACGTTCATGGCCGACGGCCGCTGCTAGCGAAGAGAGATTGTTTAGGGTTGCGTCAAAGAGCAGAGGCCGTAGAGGAGGGGAGAGCGGTAACAAGAGAAGGGGAACGTGGTGCCCTAATGCAAGAACGGGGTGTCCTAACGCAACGGCTTAGCCCAAAGGTTGTACATGGTATCCTTGATGAGGTTGCGGATGGATGGCCGCAATGGCTCGTGGAGAATGTGCCGAGAGAGGTTCTTGTCGGATTGGTCCCGAAGAGTGCAGAGTCATATGATAAGCTTGATAAAGTGAGTATGCATCGGTTGCTGTTTTTTCATTTTCTGTTGGTTGTCCAGGTAGTTATTTCTATTAGAGTTTCTGTTGGTTGTCAAGTTAGTTATTTCTATTACAGTAGTGGAGATGTACATTTGAACATTGCATAAGGGTGGATTGTGCATTTAACATTCATTATGCATGCGATTGCAGAACACTAGGAATTATGTTCAATTTTTGCCTTTGAACAACATGACACTATGATTAATTTGCCTTCTGTTTTTGTTGTTGTTTGGATGGGTCAGCGGGAATGGATCATTTTTTCTTTGTGTTGATTCAAATGGTAATTATTGCTGATGTCGCCAGTTTTCTTTTTAAGTGATCTGGACTCTAGTGTCTTTCATAACTTTTCTCTTCTTTTGTTTATGTACTTGTTCTTGGTACTCTGAACGAGATTAGGCTGAAGGGCTTGTCTTCAAAATTTTGGTTTTCATTCATTTGCTTGTGTAATTGTAATCGGCGGGTAGTTTATTGTTTATTCTGAAAACTGAATCAAATTGGGCCCGGGCAATTGTTTCAGATAAGCCATTCTACATAAAGGAATCTTTCTGCTTTTTTCATTTCCTTTGTTTCTGTCCCTGAAGAACTGCACAAATTGGGTCAGAACATACATGTCAGTTAAGATATGTATAACACAATGAAGACTAATTTCGGTTACAGTGTTTTGCATTGGAGTTTGAAGAGTTTTATTTCTTTTCCTTTTTTTTTTTTGTTTTTTTTGTTTTTTTTGTTTTCCTGTGATTCTTAATTAAGACATACAACATATAGTGATACAACAATGCATCAATATTTCTTCGCCATTCTTGTCTTCATGGTTTTGTGGTGCTGTTTCTCTTTATTCTGAATGAATTGGATTGGAGACTTTGTTGCAGATAGGCCAGGGAACGTACAGCAACGTGTACAAGGCTCGTGATCGAGTTACCAGAAAGATTGTAGCACTGAAGAAAGTTCGTTTCGACACTTCGGAATCAGAGAGTGTGCGATTCATGGCTCGTGAGATCATGATACTACAAAAGCTTGATCATCCCAATATCATCAAGCTCGAAGGGCTCGCCACTTCAAGAATGCCATACAGCCTCTACTTGGTCTTTGATTTTATGCAGTCTGATCTTTCTAGAGTCATCTCTCGGCCTGATCAGAAACTCACAGAGCCACAAGTATGTCCAACACTTTTTTATTTGGTATCCATTTCTCTCTATTTTTTGCCCCATAAAATGACTTTTGAGGGTTTCAATTTAAATTTGCCTCACCTTGTATAAAATGGGACTATTGCAGGTCAAGTGTTATATGCAGCAGCTTCTTTCTGGTTTGCAGCACTGCCATGAAAGGGGTATCTTGCACAGGGATATCAAGGGATCAAACTTGCTAGTAGATAAACACGGTGCTCTCAAGATTGCAGACTTTGGGTTGGCAAATTACTTTAAACCCAACCAAAAGGACCCCCTCACTAGCAGGGTTGTGACCCTCTGGTATAGGGCTCCTGAATTGCTTTTGGGGGCCACTGATTATGGTGTGGGGATCGATTTGTGGAGTGCAGGGTGTCTTTTGGCTGAGATGTTCGTTGGGAGGCCTATTATGCCTGGGAGGAATGAGGTAAATCACACTCTCCTTTGGAAAAGGAATTTGCGTTGAATCATTGCTGATTTGAGGCGCTGAACCGAACACTCTTGTCCATGAAAAATGTCTTATGTTGTTTAAGCACATATTAGATGTTTTGCCTTTGTATGTAATATTCAGTATTCTTATGTCTAATAGTTGTGTAATGCTCCTCATTGTAATTTCTCATGTACATAGGAGTATAAGAAAAAATTTCTCTTAACCTAAACACTTAAATGCATAAGAGAATGATTTCATTTTACCATATCATTGTAATATAATGAAACCACACTTCTAGAAAATCATACTTATGGCATTTGTTTGACCCCAACTTTTGCACAAGCACACTTTTCATCCCAACAATCAATTACCCCCCCCAAAAAAAAAGAAAAATTCAATTTGCACCTTAGATATGTTCAAATAAGCCCTCACAAACAATGAATCTTGACTGTCCATTTGATGAACTCAATATTTTTCTTTTTTAACATTGCTCATCTAATGATAACAAAGCCATCTAGAGAATTTAGAAAAGATAAAAAATCCTTCTAAGGTCTAGATCTAAGCATCTCACCAAATGGATGGCCTATGTTATTTTATAGGATATATTTTCAAATGTTCTTTTAATTGTTTATCAAAATGAAAAGGGTACATCTTTAAAGATTGGGGTTAAACAAATGGCCCTAGCATTGTTTTGAAGATTATTTCGTTATATTACTATAGAACTGTTTTATATATATATATATATAGGAAAAAGCTCCTATCAGCCCATGGGCTCATGAAACAGTGTAAGCCCAACGGCCCAGATTGAATCTGGACCGATCCAATGCTCACAATTGTATTTCGTAATTGAATTTTAATTTTTTTCTACAAATCCAAATTACTTTAAATTTCAAGGGAATTTTGGTCAATTT